AGCCGACCGCCTACCACGTCCTCGCCTTCCACGTCCGCGATGTGCGGTCCCGTGTGAACGCCCTGGCGTCGAGGTCTGGCTCGACCCAGGCGAGCATCACGATGGCGCCTACCTACCGTGGGGGGCGACCGTTGTGGGCCACCGCGTCACTGACCCTGCGGTTGCGGGTCGCGATGGCTGGGTCATCCTTCACCACGACCACGGCGACACCACCACCAGGCTCTGGGCACCGACACAAGTCCACGTCAAGGCGGACGACACTTGGCGCACGGTCATGATCGCAGCGGACCTGGGGCCCCAGTGGATCGAGCGCCATGCTGACGACGCTCGCCTCCCCGCGGAGGTGGTCCGCACTACAGGCCAGTCCTGGTTCGCCGACGTCTGCCCTTGTGGGATCGACCCCGACCCCACCCAGACGACGCAGTCACCGACGAGCAAGCGTTCCCGCCCCTACCAGGACGCTGGACTTGCCTACAGTGCCGATTCCAATGCTGTCAGTATTGTGCTGCCCGCCGCAACACGCAGCTCGGCACCTCGGGCCAACCAACGTGCCCGGACTGCTCCCTCCGCGGACTACGTGCACCTATGGACTGGTCCACGGACTACTCTTGCAACAGCTGGACGTGTGCGTACAGCACCGACAACAGGGACTCCGACACATGCTGCCTCTCCAGCAGATGCCCGCATCCGCCTCGTCCGCACAGCCTGTTCGACGTCCGTGCCACCGGGATGCCTCCGCACATCCTCGCCCGCCAATACGGCAACGCGCCAGCCCAGCACGACCTCAAGGAACCCCCCCGAGCGCCTTCAGGCCCCGGGGGGGAGCCTCCGCAACCAGGCCAAGCAGGATACCAGGGTCAATGGTATCTACCACCGAGGGCGTCGCGTCCTCAAGCAGGGATTGCCCGACGGCACGAGGCGGCCACCAGGGTTCACAGGAACGGGGATGCCTGAAGACCCGTCTCCCGACCAACCGCTGTGGAAGGAAGGCTACGTGCTCTTCGGCCCTCACCAGGCCCTCAAGGAGGATTTCATCTTCAACAAAGCGGTCCGCCGACCTTACTCCCTAGCCATCACCAACCTGCACAGGGATCGTGTCACAGTCAGGACCGTCTGCGAGTCTATCGCCGAGCGCATCCACACTACCCGCACGCGCTGGCGGGATGTGGTACTGTACTGGGATGCCGAGGGCGGCCCTGGGCCTCAATCTCTCGACTACGACATGCGCCTCTGTGACGCCATGGTGAGTCGTGCCACGACCGAAGCCGAGTTGAACCACGACCGCAGCAACCGTGGTAGCTTCTGTCTCTATGGACCAGCGCACCAGCGGGCTGTGAACATCACGGTGCTCCCCGAGCCGCAGACCATTGACTTCGTGGAGCATGTACGGCGCTACTCACCTGACGGGGAGACTTACCCAGACCATGCCTTCGAGCACGTCTACCAGGGCTGGCGGCGGCCCGACGTGCCGCCCATCCTCCCCGACACCCGCCCGCTCTCGAGAGCCGACCAACAGCGCTACCAACAGCACCAGCAGCGCACCCAGCAGCGCGACCAACGCGACGCAGGTCAGCCGAGCACGCCACGCAACCGCTCTCCCGCGCGCGTCCCGACAGGCGACAGCGCGGTGTACGGCGGGGGCGCCGCCTATCACCGTGGCCCCATTGGTGCCAGGCCCGCGGCGGCAGGAGCAGCCGCCTCCAGCTACGGCCACGCCCCCCGCGCCAGGGTGCACCCAGCGGTCGTCGGCTACCCGCGTGCACTCGGGCAGGCTCCCCCACGGGCCACCTCGCCCGTGCCAGGGTCCACGCGTGCCTGGGGCCATGACCCAGGCCGCCACGACAGCACCGCCAGCAACCAGCCCGCAGTGGCACCCCCTGCGGCTTCAGCCCAGGGGGCTGCACCAAGCCGTGGCAGGACAGGGCGCCCCGAAGGATGGCGCGAGGCGAACGTGCGTGCCTGGCAACCGCGCCAACACACGCCCCCGCCAACCGTGGCCGCAGCGCTGCGCCCTGCCCAGGCAAAACCTGCCCCCCCTGAGCGCGAGCGGCAGCCGCTCGTCCCCCTCGTCCTCACGCACACCCAGGCGCACCACAGCGCCTCCCCGCGGCACAGCGAGGGTAGTGCCCACCACGTCAGCCCCCGGCCCGACGCCGTCGACCCTGACCAGGCTGCAGCCTCGGCGGCGGGCGGCACAGGCGGCTCCCGCCCGCCCAGCCCAACACCCTGCGCAGCGCCGATCCGCTCCCCGAGCAGGGCGGACTCTGCGCGCGCTAACGCCCAAGTGGCCTCGCCACGTGACCGCCACACGGGCGGGCGCGTCCCGCGCAGCCGGTCCTACAGCCGCCACAGCTCGCGCAAGCCCCCTGGGAGCTCCACGAGCTCGCCGCCTCGCGAGACTCAGGCTGACGGCCAAGCCTCCGAGGTGGTGCCACGTTTCGGTGCCAGCGCCATCGAACCTGGCGAGGTCGACCTCGAACCGACGCCGTCCACGGACCAGGAGCTGCCACCGCCCACCCGCGTTGTCGTCGCCTTCGACGAGGCGCCGACCTTCGACCCCTTCAAGCACAAGTACTCCGTCAAGGGCCTCGCGGCGGGCTTCGGCGGCGGCTCACCGCTGCCCCCTCTGAGCCACGGCGGCGGCCCCGCCACCTCAGCCGCGGCCGCGGCAGCGGCGGCCCCGCGTGGAGTCAGCCCTGTCCGCAACGCGTGCCTCGCGGCAGCGGGCGTGGACGAGGCTCAGCGCCAGGCCACCGACCGCGCCGCTCGCCACGCCCAGCTAGTGGCTGACGCGCTGGCAGGGCGTGCGCCGCCGCAGCCACAGGGCCCACCGCCCGAGGCGAGCGCGGAGGGTGCACACGAACAAGCTGTTCCAGCTGATGCTGCTCAACACGGCACTGACGGGGCGGGCGCGCCGCCGCAGGACGGACCAGCGGTGTCGCGTGCGCAGTATTTGCGCGCGCGCTGCGCCGCTGCCGCGCCGAGCTGCCGCCGCTGGTTTGCTTTTGCTCTTGAGCTCGGCAGGGCGGATCGAGGAGTCGCCTCCCTCTCCCCCTGCTGCCGTCTCGCCTCTCCTCCCTCCGTCCCCCACGGTACAGGAGTGAGGAGGATTTTTCGAGGCAGTTTTGCCGATGTTTATGAACCCCCCCCGGCGCAGCGTCGACCATGCCTTGCCTATACTTTTGGCCCGACGGCGGCTTCAGCCCCGTCCAAGCCAATCTGCCGCGACGCCATGAGCTCCTACTGTGGCCAAGCCTTCTACCTGGGTGACGGCCAGGCTGCCTCCACCGTGCGGGGCGTGCTAACCCCAGCTCCACCGACGGAGATGGGCCAGGTCGCTCCATCCACCTCGTCAGCCTCAACATCACGAGTCTCCCAGCGAACTGGCCAACCATCACCGCTCTAGGTGTCGACCACAACGCCGCAGTCATAGCACTGCAGGAGACCCGACATGCCAAGCCTACCAGGCAAGCCCTCGCTACCAACGCCGCCAATCCACACCACGGAGGATACCAGGCCAGTCTGGGACCTGACCTGGATCTGGCGCGTGCTCAGCGCAAAGCTGCTCACGGTGGCACGGACCACACGGTCGAGGGCACCACCGGCGCCTCGGGTGGGGTCGCCATCCTCTCTAAGGACGCCATCGTCGACTCCACCGTCGACGACATTGCGACCTGTATCGCCACCCTCAAGGCCAAGAATCGATGGCACGAGGCCTTCCTCCCGCTCTGCACCCAGCACCGCCGCAGGCGGCGACGAAACAACCACGGTCCCGCTGGGATCTACATTGCGAGCCTCTACGGGGTCGCTGGAGGGGACAGCACCGATTTGTTTCGGCTTGCTGATTGCGCCGCCGCGAGGGTCGGCTCAGCCACGTATTTCATTTGCATGGACGCCAACACGAACATCGACGACAATCCACATCTGCTGCACATGATGCAGCACGGATGGTTTAACGTCGCTGAAGGCACACCAGACCACGCCATGC